ATTCAGTAGATGCATTTTATGACATCTCAAAGGGTTTTCAGTAAATTCCCTCAACAAAATTTTTTTAAAGAAACTGAATAGTTATGAATAGGGAAAAGGCATATACATGCATAAAGACTTGGGTAGAAAAGAGAGTAGGAGTAAGTGATGAACTCTCCTAGCAGGTGTAGGTCATTCGCTGGAATTCCATGGGAACATTTACTGGGACCTGCACGGCTCAACATCTTCATAAATGATCTGGTAAGAAGGCGAGTAGTGCAGCAAGAATGTTGATGATGGTACAAAATTACTAAGGATAGGCAGGAGAAAGGCAGTTTCAGAAGATTGTCAGGAAGAGTTTATATTTACAGTTTGGAAATTAAAATGGCAGATAAAATTCAATGCAAGTAAACACGAGGTAGTGCATATCAATCCTGGCATCATATATAAAATGTTGGGTTCGTGTTTACCATTGCTACTCGGGAAGGAGATTTTGGGATTACGGTAGATAGTGACATTCTGTCAGGCTTCACACTTGGCAGTCACCAAAGAGCAAACCTAATTTCTGGAGTTATTGGGAAAGGGACAGGGAACGTCCAGATCCCACTGTATTAATATGTGGCTATAACTCATCTTGAATACCATGTCTACTTATGGTCACTTTATCTTAAACTACTTAATAAGCCACAATTTTCACAGAAAAAGTTCACAGGAATAATTAAGGATGTAAAATGGCTACAAAAAAAAAGTGACTGGATATGGTGGGGCTCTTTCTCCTGAAAAAGAAACAATACATCAAAGTATAAAATCATGTGGCACGGAGAGGTTGAGTAAGTGTTCACTCTTCCAATTCAGGAATGAGGGTCTGTCAAATCGAGTAATAGGGAATAGAGCAAAAAAAAAAAAAAAGGAATGGTTTTCTTCTTCTAAGTGGTGACAGTCCTAAGGAACTTGCCACCAAAAGTTAATGCAGATGCTGGTACTATGGATGAGAAACTGGTCAAATACTTGACAGAACGATTTATGGAAGGGTACTACCTAAAAGATTCATGGCAAGCTTGTGTGACTCACTAGCTGAAAATAGTGTGGGAAAGCACCCAGGGAAGCGTACTTGCCCTGTTCTTATTCTTCCTTGGACAGCTGCTTTTGATCACTGGTGTAGAAAGAAAACTGGGCTGGGTGGACCTTTGGTGTGAACTGGTGGGGCTGTTTAGTAGGGAATGCAGGCAGCTACGTGACATGTCCTAACCTGAGGAACTGAACGATACCCAAGTTGGCTTTAAAAGAGCTACCTCAGATGCCAGTAGCAGCCTGTCCTCTGGCTGCACGGAGAGTTCATCCTCTCAGTGGCATCAATTAGCCTGTGCCGAGATTCTTGCTGTCATCGCTGGGATGTTCCCACTACCAAGCTAGCTTATATAAAAATACTGCTATTCCACACTGCTATTTGCTGTGTAGGCATTCCTACTAAGTGGGCATGGTGGTGCACAAATTATTTTGACAGAGTCCAGAAATACGATGATACTAAATTCTCAAAAAAGAAGGAGAAGAAAGTTATTCCAGCTTCAACTCTCAGATTATTTACATGTTCTGTTTATTCATTTCACAAGTCTAGTAATCTTTTTCTGAGTGTCAGCTCTTGTACACTTAGTTTGGGGTCTGAAAATCATTAGGTTGGGGTTTTTTTGTTTGTTTCATGCATCACTGTTAGCAGTAGTAAAGATATGCAGCCAGAACTACTGCTGTTTCAAGGATAGATTCCAGTGTATTCTCTTTTAAACCATAATGGTTTTGAAGACCTAATAGCACTGAAAATTAGCAAATAACTATTTTTATCTCTAGAGCCAGCAGTTCTGACTCAGAGTGTCCATTAAGGAAATGAATTTTAAATAACAGGATTTTTTAAAAATATTGTCACTCAGTATCTTAACTACACTTAAAAAAGAATGGCATCTATTATAGACATGAAAATACTATACTGGTGTCATTACAAAATGATGAAGAATGTTACTAAGTAATTAGGTAAAAATTAATATTATCACACATTTTAATCCCGGGGTGATTCTCAGGGTCTCCAGCTGGGGGCACTGGGCAAACATTGAAATTTGGCAATGGCCAGGGTGAATGAGACTTGTACCTAGACCAGTACTCCGCTGAGGGGGAGGAGGCAGGGAAACCAAAACCACCAAGAAAAATAGATGTGAGATACAGTGATCATTCTGGATTTGAGAATTTTTTAACATGAATTAGATTTTTTTTTCAAAACTCCATTGCTACTAGCAAACAGTTGTACTCTTTTCATTACCCATAAATCATCCAGTTTCTTTTGCAAAACTAGGAATCAGTGATTTTTAAAACTATCCCTTTAATCAATAACTTCAAATTCTAATGGTTCCAGGTAGAAAAGTTATTGTAAATTAAATTTGTTACCATTCAGTTTCATTAAACATTTTCAGCTTAGTATAAATCATTGTCTCTACCAATCTTCAATACTGCTATTTATTCATTTACCTCAAGGGAAAAGCTGGAAAAAGAGTAGAAGGTGCTCCTTATCAAGGTACAGGGTAAAGTCCAGCATGCCCAAGATCCTCATGGGCCTGTACACACACAGATTTAGCATCTAGAACAAGACCTAAGGAGAAATGACGTATTACTTTGCTGAAGGAATACCAATTATGTTATTAGGAATATGTCATAGAGATCAATGGTGATTCCATGGTTTCATAAAATATCAGTTCAGGAATTCATAGCCCTAATTTCGTTGATGAGGTTTTCTAAAACAGGCCAGGCAGATGATTTTTAAATTTACTAATTTAGAAGTGAACTGGGTATTCAAAAGCAAAATTTCATAGCAGCTTTAGGAGAATGCCTGAAAAGGTGAATATACGTTTGAGAACTGCACATCTGTAAACGGATGTATCAATAAGGAAAGTAAGCACTGAACATTGTCAAACTCATAGTAGCCTAGATCTTCCTTCCAGATGATATTTTTAGCTGGATTTTGCAATAGTGCAATGGATTTCCTGGTCCCTGGAGCTCCTGGCCTCTGTATTACAAGTTGTAACTGCTTGCAACAGACTGAAGCCAAAAGTTTTTGTCCACATCACCGGCTGTCAAAACACAGGGACTTCTGTCTGGGTGTGTAGATACTTAGTTTTGGAAAAGCAGGAGAGAACATTTTGTTCATCTTTCCTCATGTTTCTCCCCACACACACCAACACAGAGGAAAAACAACAAAGCCCTAATCATGCCGTACTACTTTAGTATCTTCCATGTAACCAGAGAAAGCAATCTATAAATATTAAAGCTTCAAAGCAGAAAAAGCATTAAACTCATTAGGTAATCATAAAGTTGAAATAACTATCAGCTGGTTGGTTGCAAGGTTAGGAAAGGTTTAGGAGTTCCAATTTCCAGTCCTTTAATCTAAGCCCTAGGCCACAAATAAGGAATTAGCCTGGAATTCATGATCAGCCTTGTAATAACAAAATTTTGTTTATACCTTGAAAAGCAGCAAACAGTACCAGTTTCACTTCACAAAACACTTATTGTTGCAAACATATAAAATGTGCTTGCTTTTTCATATCTTGGTGTCGTTTTAAGAAAATGAAGTTGCTCCTGTACCTTGAAACTTAGAATAAATTAAATGACACATGAATAAATATATATTAATTCTTTTTTATTAAAGTATCAAAACAAACTTGAAAATAGAAAACAAACTGCTTTTAATGCATTTTAAGGGTTCTCCTGAATAAGGTACACTCTTAAGAAAACTCATGCAACATACCATTCCTGTCTAGCTCTTTAAACACTCTTTTCCTGGGCACAGTCAAATGTCCTTGAGTACCACCATTTCCAGAGTAGCGTGCAGGAGCACGCGCGCACACACACAAGCACACACACACACACGCGCATACAAAAGCAATACAGAGCAGCTATGACTGCACATATAAAGAAATAAAAATAGATTATCTTCTGACAATAGTAGTGGTACCATATTAACATTTGGCATGCCGAGTAAATAAGATCAAGCAACAAAAGCGTGACGCCTGCGTCACCAGTGGTATGGTTAGAAGCAACCATACAAATTCCCTAAGGGAGACACGTGAATTCCATCACAATTTTCTAGTCTCTGTGGTAACACTTCATAACCGACCACGAGACAGTTTCGTCTGCTGGTATTTGATGCACAAAAGACAAAGCCAAGGTGTACGATACCGGGATGATGCCTTGGTTTTGTATTTCCACATTACAGAAGTCAAATAACAATGAACATTGTTTGACAAGTTTATTGTAACACACTTCATGTATACCTGTTGTCCGATAAACAGCTGGCCCAATTACACATAGAACTCACCCTTTAAGCCAGAGAAGTTGCCACACAGTTTCCAAACTCTGCCTACAGGATGTGAATAAAACTCTCACTTGTCAATGGAAGTCAATGGAACCTCCTTCCAATACACAGAAATATAATGGATTCTTAGGACAGAATTGGACCTAGTATGTCATCTTTTTAATACATTCACTTTTCAGATACATGAAGTACATATCTTTAAAATGTGATATAGGACATTACAATATATCCAGATCTTAGGAAAAGGTACTAAGAAGTTCTGTTGCAGAATATAATGATCATATAAGGATCAGGTACAATATGTGATAGACTCATGAGAAATTTGCAGGGTAAGAACCTTATGGCTGAGGTATCTAAGTTTAGCCTTTAGAACAAACACACAATTTCAACACTGCATAACTGGTGTAAAATATTATGTACAGTAAGGTCCATTTGTATTCTGCTTTGTTTAAATTGTGACATCGAATGGTTAGACATCACTGATGGAGATACAGAATTTTGGAAGGTACAACATCTGCACCCAATCGTTCAAGATACTCAGTGCCTCATCTTCAAAAAAGATGAAGGATAAGTGTTCTAAGTAGCAGTGTCTCAAATACAACTGATGAAGTTTAGGAATATATAATATTAAACACCAAAGGTAAAAAGACAGCACAACACTTGTGTTTTCAGTTTTCTCTTGCTCGCAGTATTTATTAACTCTACTCATTATGATATTAGTGATAAATAAGAATAATATTTTCTTTTACAAAAAGTTGTAAGGATATATTTTATAGAAATAAACAATCTGAGAATTTCACAGAAACATCAGAATTTAAACACTCATAACTGTTTTGTCCAGCAGCTCTTCTACCAGTTCAAAAACATCCAAGGTTAGTATTTAATAAAAAATAAAAACAATTATTCACTACATCAAAACTCTTGCCTCCTTTAGATTCTAAGTAACATTTTTGATTGATTGTAGTTGCCACTCAAATGTAAAATAAAAGTAGCTGCAATCATAATTTTTCCCTCTGAATCACCTGGCAAAAGGAAGTAATCTTGGCCAGGATGGAAAAAGCTTTGTCAAGCTCTTATGCCTGTAAGAGCTATCTGCATGAGCTCTGAAATCCATGGAACCTCTTTTGTGAATGAGGGTTAATAGTATGAATTAAGGCTTGTAGGATTAGATTCTACATAAATTTTAAAAAAAAAACACCTTTTCAAGGTTCACAAGCCTGGGATTCAGTCCTGCAGTTCTTTACTTCAGCAAAACCTCTATCAATACTCCTCGATAGTTAGTTTCCTCTTTCCAGTGGGTTCAATTCACCAAGTCACTAAATGATAGTACAAGCTGCTCTTTAGCCATCAAAGAAAAATTGTAGTCCCCAAAGGATAGTAGGTGAGGTGATAACTCATAAAATACAAGCTAGGCCACATAGATGTTTTGCAAGAAACATTTCTTTGTCACACCTACAAGGCTCTTCAATTTCAGTCACTGAGATGAGTCATAGAAAAAACCCACACAAGTGTTGTGAGAAAACTGACAAAGCTTAGTTGGAACTAAAGGGGTTTTGTGTGTGTGTGTATGTGTTAGGTTAAAATGCAACATTATGCATCAGTACATTCTGCCAGAAACCATCCTCCCGGAAACTTCAGAAATACTCAGTCTTCTTTCCCTATCAGCAACAAGGAAAAGTAGTGTCCATCCAGCACAGCTGTCTGTACCATGTGCATCACTGGAAGTCATAGTGTTCTAGCACAAACGTCGTGAGTGCAGATACTGTATACTAGCAGAGAGCTAAAACTTCTGAAGCTGTTGTCTGTAGCTCCTAGGAATAGCAAGTATGACAGGTGCAAAAACCTATATTTGAGGCAGAAGGCTCTTCAATTTGATTGAGACCAGATCTTCCAAGGGGAAGAATCGCTGTCAAGCCAAAATGATTCTTTCCACTTAAGAAAGCAACCTGCCCTTCCTAAAGGCTCTTGACTAATAGAATCCTACACATTATGTCAGATCCTCCATGGATTCTGGTAGTTGTTAAAAACACTATAAATATTTCCGTGTTTGCCATATCACTTAACCTTGTAATGTGCCTTCTTTGATCTGTTGAATAAAAAGATTTCTTTCATCTTCAGGTGTCCTTCCGTTTTGTGCACGAACTATACAAGTAGGCCTGTGAAGATTTAGCATGTATATCAAATGCTGCTTCTCATTCTTCAGCTCTTCGATCTGGGCTTTTAATTCCGCATTGATAGTTTCCAGCTTTTCTGATTCCTAGTCACAAAGGACAGACACAACTATTACACTGAGTAGTTCAAATAGTTAGTTGCAATATTTAGCTAATAGTTGTGGTCTTTTATTGGTGGCAAAACATATTGCTAGCAGAGAAAGAAATCTCATGTTCTTAGTGTGCTGCAATGATGAAACTATACATTCTCCAGTCAGTAACAGTCTAAAATTGACAGTTACCTTCTTTGGCCTTTAGAAAAGTGTAATGGAAGTTGGAAAGCCAAATTCAGACTTCTGTTCACTTGCAGGGACAGATACCCAAAGCATTATCGCTATCTTCTGCAAAATTATTCTGAGCTTTTTGGGTCAAAAATTGACCCCAAATTATCTACGCTGCTTCTTAATTCCCTTGAACATCATGTCACATATCTGCAAAGCCATGGTAAGCTAAGCAAGTAAGAACATAGCTTTTTTCCCTAGCCCTAGATATAGGAATGTAGAGGCCTCTATACCCGAGTACAGATCAACATTGCTGTAATAAAGTTGTATATCACTGCACAGGAGGTGAAGACAAAAATGGGGTCCTAGGACAGAGAACTCAGGGGTCAGCTACCATATCACTCATTTCATAAGTAAGTCTAAAATTACTTGGTGGTGTTTTCAGGCTCTCCATAGCGAATATTTTATGAAATGAGATTTTACTTCTTTTTGTGTTTAGTGTACACATTCAAATTAATATTATTCCCATAGACAAGATCAGTCACTGAAACAGTAAACTCTTTTCACTCCTACCATGCTTTCACTTTTTTTCCCAGTTTTAACCAGGTTTTTTTTTAATATATAGCATGTTCATTTTTTTATAACTAATGTTTTGAAGGGTTTAAAGAGTTTTGGGGGACATCTTTCTGTATTTCTTACTATGACAGAACTCCCTGCTACCTGTTTGGACCCTGGCAGGATGATAGATTAAGAAAAATTCTAGCCAGTCACTTACTTTTTGCAAACATTCTGTTTTTTCCTTCTTTTTGTTTCGGCACTTTGCCGCAGCAATTTTGTTCCTTTCCCTTCTTCTCTTCTTTCTTTCATCCTCTTCAGGAGAAAACTGTCCAGCAAAAATGGATACACACAATCCATCAGATGTTGTAAATATGAAACCTCTATTTCTACAGCTTCTGCAATTTTAAAATCAACATGGATAGTGTTGTCAGTGTTTACATTAAGAGTTACATAGCAGTGTGATTGTGACCTTGTTTGCCATACAGTATAAGGGTAGTAACCTCATTAGAATTCAGTTAAAACCTGACTGGAGTTTGGATGTATGTAATCCATGTGATGGCTCATTTTAAACCAAAAGTACTCAAAAAACTCATTGAATGTCTCCCCAGACTGACTCCCACACCTCCAGGAGAGGAAAAAGAGGAAGGAGCATGGGGAGCAGAGTGGAGGATGTGTCATGAATGAGGCAGGGAGAGCGAGTGAAACTAAAGGCAGCACCGAGAAGGAGATATTAACACACTTCTTCAAGCTTTGTTTTGTTTCCTGGGAAGGCTCAGACCAAACTGTAGCTGTTTCCTTAACTTAAGCTATTTATCCACTTTTAAAGAGAAATCTTTTTCACTGAGAGTATTATCTTAAAGTAAAAACCCAGTGTGGACATAGCACAGCTAGTCCCACTTAGTCTAGTCCCTGTAGGTCCTGCTGGAAATAGTGAAATAGAACTTCAGCAGTGACTTATTCCAAGTTCAGCCACAAGTAGGCAGGGAAACCAGATTAGCACTTGTTCTAATCATTGTAAAACATTGTCCTTAGATGATAATAAAAAATAAAATATCCAGCTATGTGAAATACCAAAGGTTTTCCCCAAAGCATTTAACAGAAAGCCAAGCAGCATGCTTGAAAGAATCAAGTATGGCAGAGAGGGTTGTCTATAGTTACTGGTCTTGTGGTGAAACTTCACTAGAGAATTAATCATTCACACTGGAATTCTATTTAGAGAGCCATACCTCTGTTTTCATCATTGCTGTTTCAACTGGCCTTTCAGAAACTGTCACCGTGTCCAATGAAGAAGACATCCTGTGGAACTGACGCTTATTCTGAATGGCAAACCTCAGTTCCTCTTTCACCAGTGGGGTTAAATTTGTGAAATCATCAAACCCCAGTGACCCTGCAGGGGACAAAGTGGGAACAATTGCGGAGGCGCTGACTTCTAATGCAGATACCTGGCCTGAGTGTTGGACCATCATTTTGCTGAAAGATAAAAAGAGATAATAATAATAGTCTTTCAACAACTTTAGAAAGGCAAATATCTCTTAGAGGTAAATTTCATACTGTGAATAATACTGTAGTTCTTACATTGCTTCAGTCCCCCTTCCCCATGTACCCCAATCTCTCACTAGAGACAAGCAGTTAAGTATTTGGTCACTAGTGAAAACTTCAAGTTAACTCAAAGTTAGTATTTAAAAGTGAGAACAACATCAGGATGAGACACAATTTCTAGGTCTTTCTGAAACTTAATATTCAAAAAAACTGTGTAAGTATGTATACTGTTAAGTTTTAAATTGGTAATGTGTGGCAAATGATAATCGAGTGAATAGGAAGAGAAAGAAAATAAGAACAAAAATCAGAAAGCAAAAAAGTAGTATTATTATTTAAGGCACAGACAGAAAGTAAGAGTATCTTCATCCTCAGAGCTATACCACCACAAATTCCAGCTTCAAATGGATAGAGCATACCTTTATCTTGGCTACATTTAGGTAAAGCTCAACGAGTTCTACTAGGAGCTGAAGTTTGCTAATCACGACAGGATCTGTCACAAAATTATCACACTCGGTCTTACATACAGTTGTAGATATGGCTCTAAACTCCTGAAAAATGGTTAATGATAAGAGCTGGCACAGAAGTAAGAGTCTATACATGCTCTGGAGCCCCAAAGCACAGACTGAGTTGGAGGGATTGACTCATGAAAAATGTGAAGCCGTTTGTTTCATTCCTTTGCTCTTGTAAAATTCGAAACTGTCCTCATGTGCCCTCTATGGGAGTCTTGAAATTCTTAAATATTTATGGCCGAATCTTTTGCTGATATAAACCAGTGTGATTGAAGAGACTTCGGGGGAATTATGCAAATGTAAACCCATGGAGAAACCTCAACTCTAGTAGGTTTCCTAAGAAACAAACTTACCCAACAGTGCTCTCTACTTTCCTCTTTTTAGTCACTCTTATTTTTTAGCCAGTTTGGGAGGGAGAGAGGTCCCCTACGTGCTTTGTGAAAATTGGTGACCCCACTGAGGGGGAAAGAGACAAAACTCAGCAGTGAGTCATTCAAACACGGTGGGCTAGCTGATGCACACATCTCTGCATGTCACAATCCATCTCTCACCCAGCAGAGGTGAGATAAGAGATCTGGAAGAAAACTGAGCACCTTTCATGGGTGGTTCAGTGTATAAAAGCTGCAAATCCATAGGAAAACAGTTTTTAATACTTTCCTTGTTCATAAAGCGACTTGTTTTAAATGTTGGTTTTCCAGCTTTCTTCAGTGTGTAGATTTTGGTTGGGGTTTGGTTTTTTTGTTTTTAATAGCTGTATAGATAATTACAGTATGTGTTATCTACTCTGGTCTAGAACTATAATAATTATAGCAAAGTCAATTATAATTAACTTAGCTCAGGTAAGCAAATAGTTGCCTTGGGGTAGCACCGTGGGTAAGCTAAATTTCCACATGGTCAACCCAGAATTGCACAGTTCCTCGTACGTTACTTCAGTAACACAGCAAGAAATGTTTGGGGTCATGTGAAGAAGATAGATTTTGCCCAGAGATATCTAAAAATACACTGTAAATCCACACTGGTGCAAATGAGAATAGAATCTGGTTCATTGCTAAGTGAGGTAAATATAAAAATCTGAGGACAGTGAATTGCCAGTTGGTAGAAAATGCCATGTCCAGCTGCAATCTTCCTCATTTCTTCCTCACCCAGTCACCACAAAAGAGCTGAACATTTCCCAGAGTCTGGGGGTGAAATCCTGACTCCACCGCAATCAAGAGGACTTTTTCTGTTGACCTCAATGGAGCCAGGATTTCACCCATAGTTATTAAAGATGGGGAAATTATTTGGAAAAATTTGTTATTCAGAAAGACCTTGGGAAATTTATGTAATTCTCTTCAGAAAGCCCCTGCTCATGAGTCACATTTAAAGTAGTGATACAATTTAATCCCATAATCTCAGAAGGCTAGCAGTTGCACTTTTCCAACAAGTCAGAAATGGCCCTATAATTTCCAGATGAAGTCCTCCCAGTATTATTTACCATTTACCAACATTCAACCATTCAGCTAATTTAAACAGGCTAATTCTGGATGACACTGAACCCCTCACTGCTAGGAAAAATTTCAGCTATTTTCACTGAATCTGTCTCCTTGAATGCTGATGATGGCTTCATTCAACGAAGTTAATTATGTATAATTTAATCCAACCAGGAGTCTTAAATTAACAGTAAAACTGTTTCTCCAGCCTACAAAATAATTAGTTGAGTGAATAATTTTTGAGCTCTGGTGGTTTATTCAATTATTTTACAGTTTAGGTGAACTTTTAATTAAGGTCAGCAGCAGCACCAGAGGAAACCAAGAATGTTTGTGCCTGAGAAATTGTGTTAATTGTGGATTTCTACTAGTTAGTGCTAAGTGTACCATGAGCACCAACAAAACCCTGCTATAATGGCTTCAGACCCTCTCATCCATCAGTTACTAGTGTGAAAAAGAGGGTGCCCAGAGAAGGAGAAAATGTCCTTGACTGTAGAAACTTGCTGCTCTGCTCACTGACCTCCCAAACATCCTGAAAGGTACCTCTAATTGCTCAGACTTTAGGGAAGGGAAGGCCTACCAGGGGGCTGAGGCTTGTGAAAGGATTTCTTCTGTGAGCTGAGTCCCATTTTGCAGAGCTGTTTGCTATTGGTTTGCTTTCCTGGGGCTCTTCCTTAGGGCAGGACTTGGTAGGGTAGGCTTCCAGTCTACCACTGGGATTGTTAGGAGCCACCATGACACAAATAACAGAAGTAGTCAGCCTTCTGTCAAAACTCTTCAGTAAACTGAATAGATTCCCCTTTCATAACAACAAGGTAGATGTTTTCCAGATTCTGAGGAACCAATCTGCTTTTAGGAATGTTTTAGAAGGAGAAAAATTAGATTTGACTATTGTAAAGAATGCAACAAGTTGTCCTTCCTTTCCTCAATTTTAGTACAAATTGTACCTCTGTCTATAAGCCATCAGGAGCACTATCTCATTTTCTCTGGATTTGTAAGGGCTGGGGAACCAGTAGGAATAACAAAATCAAGCCTTAAAATGTGATTATATTGTGGCCTTTCTGATACAATCTGTGTTTACTTTGTTAGACCATGCACATGGACCTGTGCTCCAGGCTGCTTTCAGTACTCCTGAAGTTACTGACATTGAAGGTGCTGAACATTACTGTGCAGTGCAGACCTGCACTGTAAGAGTACAACTTGTTCCCAGGGAGAGTTAATGCTTCATTACTTTATCTTCAGTTTTGGAATTCTCAAAAGAGAACAGTTTTTCTATGCATGGTACCCTCCCAATTCAGGTAGATTCAAGCAACTTTATTAATTCATTCTCCCTTTGCTACTCATTTGCTCTTCTGCTGATGATTCTTTCCATCTACAGTGAGTTTTGCATCTCATCTGCCAATATTTTTAAATTGAGACATACTTCCTAGCTGTGCATTTCTACTATTTAAGGGTATTCTTGTTTAATAATAATAATAAAAGTGACTACTTTCAGTCTTTTCTTTTTTTGCTCAACTGCAGATGGTTGGCTGTGCCTCTTGGTTTTATTTCTTCATATGAATTCCTTTTCCTCTGGTGCTGATGCAATAAACCCTGATAACCACTGAGGTTAATCTTAAACAGCATTAAGAGCAATTACAGTTCACAACCTCTGTGCACGCTAGTTGACCTTAAGCTTTCTGACATCCCACATGGCTCTCGAACCATTTTCTGCTGCCTTCCAGCTTCTCGAATGCTGTTATTAGCAGGAAAATTGATTTCCAAGAGGAAACTCCTTCTCTGAAACAAGTTTGCTGTTGTGTCACGCCTGATTTGGTTAGGCAACAGTTTAGCAACTGATCTACTTCATGTCAAGACCGGGACAGAAAGGAAAGTGAATGTGCCCGGCTCGCAGACGGAGTTCCCCCTCGATTTATGTGAATATCATAGATAAACCTACGCGCGGCAGTGCGGGGTTTCTCATCGCCTTGGCCGTCCCGGGGCAGCTCCCCAGCCCCGGTGCCCGCGGTCCCCGCGGTGCCGCCGACGGCTGCCGCCCCCGCCGCGCTCCGGCATCCCGGCGATCCCCGTCCCGATCCCGGTCCCGGGGCCCGCGCCGTCCCTCCGCCGAGGCCGCCACCGCGCGGTGCCGAGTGGCGCTGCCGGCCCGGGATGAGCCGGGGCTCGGCGGGCTCCTCCCGGTGCTCACATCTGGCGGCAGCCCGGGCAGGGGGTTCCCCCAGATGTGGGCGCCAGGAGCGAGCCGCCACCGGCGGGCGGGCGACGGGCTCCGGGGGAGGTTCGGCGGGGCCAAGGGCTTTCCCAGGGATCTCGGCGGGCGGCGGCACCGCCGCGCCCGACTTCGCCGGGAGCGGCGAAACTTTTCCCGGCGGCGGCCCGCGGACCCCCCGGCGGGCATCTCTCCGCGGCGGCACAAGCTCCCACGGAGCTCAGCCCCTCGTCCCGCCGGCACGGGGAGTCTCGGCGGCTCCCTTCGCGCTTCTACCTACCTTCCTCCCGCTGCTGCCGCTTTCCCGGCCGGAGGGAAGAGGCTCCGGACTCGCCCCGCCGCGCTGCCGTCCCGGCGGCTGTCCCCGCTTCTCCGCCGCCTCCTCCGGGAGAGCCGCTCGCTCCGCTCCCCGCTCCTCTGCCGCTCGCCTCGGTTGCATCACCCCCCTTATATAGCCGAGCGGGCAGCGCTGGTATTTACTCTGGCGGCGAGTCCCTGGCTGATGTCATGCTATTAATAGCCTCTCCGAAAGAGAGGGAGGAGGGAAGCGGAGCCCGTGGCGGTGATGCAAGGCTTCCCCGCCGGCACGACTCGGCACGGCACGGAGCGGGACCGCCGCGCTGAGCAGTGCCGGGCGGCATCGCGGCTCTCCCAGGGAGATCATCGGCACCCGAACAGACGCTGTTCTCCTTCCCTCCTCCATGCCCACCCCCCTCTTTTATTTTCTTTTTCTATTTATTTTTCTTTCTTTCTTTCTTTCTTTCTTTTTTTTTTAATTAAGGTTCTGGGAGTTTCTTTCTCGGGGCCGTTTTGCCTCTGAGAATAAATCAAAGTCTTTGTCACGACAAAAAAAAAAAAAAAAAGGGAAAAGAAAAAAGAAGGGGCGACTGTGTAGTTTTCGAAAGGAGTGAAAACTGTGATCGTTTTCTACAGGAAAAAACTGCTTAACACCCCCTCCGTTCTTACAATCCTCCCTCCCCCCGCGCTCCGTGCTACTTGACATGACAGCTAGAAGTTCATTTCATATGAAGAAGAAGGCTTTTTACCATGAGGAGGAAAGACCCGTTTAATGAAATTACAGAAAGCTAAAAATAATATGCTTTGGGGGTTTTGTTTGTTTTGTTGAGGGGTTTTTTTTAAATTTTTCTTAAAACACAGCAGCACACGATTTCCTTATGATTTCATGAAAAAACAAGGAGTTGCTATAGAAGAGAAAGAAACATGGTTGTGACTGTGGTGAAGGGGGTTTTGTTTAGTTCTTTTTTTTTCCCCTAGTTTGTTAAAAGACAGAAATTGCCTTTTAGCAGCCCCCAAAGTGCTAGAAAATGTGTCAAAAAAAAATTATCCAGGAGAGACAGAAAACTTGCAAAGACAGATGCACAGTGTTATCCAGTACAATAATATTCTGTATATAATACATACAAACTTGTTATTAAGACAGTCTTCAAGTCTCTGTACTTGGCATGGAAAAAACAGGGTATTCCATGCTTGAGGATATTCTAAATAAATCAATATAAAATGTATACCTTCATATATAAAATGTATATCCCAATTAAGAGCTCCAATCTGTTAATTAGTTTTATAATGTTCAATGTACCAGTTTTCATAATAGGTAATATGATTCAAGTGGTATATTCTGGGACATTTTGATTACTTTGAGCATTTTGTCAAGGATATAGAGTTCTAATACTAGTTTGAAAGTCTCTCTGTATCTCCTCTCTATGTCCATTTGATTGCCTGGATGTATATATACATGTATATATTGGCCACACAGACAGGAGTAGTAAACTTAGCTTTTTAAATGCCCCAGTGCCAGCATGGTCAACTTTGCAAATTTAACACTCCTATTTTATATTTAATTGCCTGCTTTTGAAGGAAAAATAATCTGGTGGAGAGGGGAAGGAGTCTGGAGTAGTGACGTTGGCTTCCCTCCTGTGGAAGGTGCAGTCGCACCCTGTTCTCCTCAAACAATGAAATGCACTTGGTGAGGGCAGGAGTGAACTCCTCTGACCCACCTGGCAGCTCTCCATTTACAGCTCGTTTGAGCTGCAAGCTTTTCTTTTTCACTCACCTACAGATAAATCATTCTCAGCTATTTCAAAACATATTTGTTGCCTTATCTTTATTAATCTAGGTAAATCAACATCTAATATAACATTAAGCAAAAAGTTTGCTCTTCAGAAGGGTCTAGAGCAAGCTTTATATTTCAGCTTGGTGCAGCCTGGGAAGTTCTTTTTACTTCAGAGGCATAACTTTATAATTCATGCTGTGCTCAAGAACAGCTGGCATCATTTTTCTCAAGCCTCGAAGAAAAAAAAATGTCCTCTCAAGCAGAGGCCAAATGTGGAAAATTTCTTCCCAAAAGATAGTTGGTTGGAAAATTTTGAGCATGAAGTTATTGTGGAAACGTGTTAGCAACATCGGTTTTAGTGGCCATGAACAGGTGCCTGCTGTAATTACGACAGAGATTTAGCAACTGTCTGTCCTTATTTAGCTAGCTGTGTCAGAAGTGGGTATTCATTTAGAGTATTTCAAGATAAGCAGAGCAATGTTGCAGAATAATGAAGAAGGGAAAAAAAGCAATTCCCTCCCTCAGTGTGGGTAGAAGTACCTTGGAAATCCAAGTGTTGTTATCCTGTTGTTGAGGGTCACTGAGGTCTACTTGTCTGCTATACAAAGCTGCTTCACCACTGCTGGTGCCATTATTGCCCATGAGCTGCAGCCAGTACTAAAAACTGACAGCAAACCAGTTGTGTTCATTCTTGAACTTCTCTTGAAGTAAGCCAGCTCCTCCCTGCAAAGCAAACATAGAAACTGTTCCCGTGCGCATTTGAGATTAGGCCACTGAAACATGTCCTGGCTTGAAATTCTTCAGTGAAAAAAGAAAACGAAACCACAATGAAAAATAAACCCAGTTCCACTGTGTCATACAGGTTTTATTCTGCTCCCTTTTAAAACCAAAGCTAAATTGATCTCAGTAAAGACACAAGATCACACTCGAGTTAAAAAAAAAAAATTAATAATTAAGACTATCAGGAAGTTAAAGTAAAACCTAGTACAGCCACCAGATGCTCTGATGTTCTTGCCAATTTAGTTTTCCATCTCATAAAATATCTTTCATTTGCCTTCCTCTGAACATTTATCAGTCCTTTTCCAATTCATTTCTCTCTTTCGTCATAAACTGCAGGGAACAGCTCCCCTGAAACAGCACTCCTTTAACAGAGGTGACATTCATGTGCATAATTTCTGTTTTCCCTTAAGCCAGGTACAGCATCTCATCTCCCAGACTGATGTGTATTGGGTTCTTCTCCCTCTTCAGAGAAATTAGGCTGAATACCACCTCATGGTGTGGTCCTTGCAGCCCTCCAGGAGTCTCCAGTGTAGAGGGAACAATTATTTCCTTTACCTTTTTCTGGCCAAATCCTGCCTCCACGTCCCTTGACACTACTTCATACACAGTAGATATTTGATTAAAACTAAAACATGGCTATCTCCTCGCTAAACAGAGCTAGAGACATTGTTATACAGAGGAACAGACTCCCATCCTCACAGCAGTACCTTTCTTAACATTTATGCCACTGCAGGAGGTCAGTCAGAGTAACACAGTTAAAACTCCCATGTCCCATCCAGATCCTATATTGGTTTATGGTCATGCAGTTCCATTAAACCTGTTTGGTCTAGTGAAAATATAATGAGACACAAATAAATGAAATTTCTAGTGATAACCTGAGTAAAACCTGTCTCTATGTGTTTTGTGGTTTTAATTGTGTTAAGTTTTGAAATTACTGTAACCCTGACAGGTGAAATTTTTCCCTGCACAGCGCATGTAAGAGAAAGAGGTTGCCTGAATTCAGAGTTATCATGTGGTAAAATTAGCCCAGAATCAGGTTTTCTGATTCTGCCTAAAAAATTATTCTCTATTTTTATGATAGGACTTATCCTTCATCATGAATTTTGCTATGTGGTACATTCAGGTCTGAATCTATGTGGTAAGACTCCCCTGTTCCCCGAAACATAAACTAATTTTGAGATAATTTTCCCATCTGACTGGACCAACACCAGCTTTGAAACCTGGGACTAGTTTTTCCAAGGTGTAGGTTGCTGCTTCTTGAACTATGGGAGCAATCTGCAGTAGAAGTAGCATCAGCCATCTCCACCCATTCAAGGGCTTTCCAGCTGTTGTCTAGGGACCCCTTGGGCGTTTGTGGGCTACTTCCAAATGTTTCCCCAAAAAGTGAATTAAAAAACACCAAACCTACAGTAGTGAGGATAAAATTCACTCTGGAAGGGTTGGTTCTCTATGAGATTAAAAGGTCCAAAACCAGAAGGGAGTTAAAAAAAACACAGGTTAGAGGATAGACTCTCACAGAGACTGTATGGCAAACCCTGCTACTGTCCTACATTTAATACCACTCAAGCAGACAATTATACGTCTTGTGGAGGAAAATAAGTGCTCTATTTTAACTTCTTTTATTCTTTAACATTGAAGATGAAATTAATTTATTTCTTGCTTTTCTCTCCTCAGCTTACTTTTCTTTTCTTAGTGCCCTTTCCCATCACAATCCCCCTAAATCCATTCACTTATTCTCTCCATTTAAAATCCCATTCTGTCCTGTCTTTTGCTTTGTTTCAGTAATAGCCACCTTTCCCGTTTCCTTAAAACAGCAACTTCTCCTTTTATTTTGCCACTTCCCTGTTTCTTCTCTTCTCACTTCTCTCTTTTCCCTCCCCGTATCCCTGGATTTCATCATCCCCCTTTCTGTTCCTTTTTTTCCAGCAATTTTTCTCCCATTGGTCCTTCTGCTCCTGACCAGAAGCTTCCTAAGCTTAAATGAGTCATTTTAATTTTCTCTTTTGCTTCCTGTCATTTTACTTTTTGCTTCTCCCTTATTAAGATGGAGGCGCTGATAACAAAATTACCTCTGGATGCAACAAGATGTACATTTCAGGACCAGATTCCAGTGCCCAAAATTACCATGAATTTTAGCAGAGCTTTACTAAATTAGTGAACCACAAGGTTGTCAGTCATTATTATACACAGGGCTTTGGGAGCGCGGGGTGGAGGGGCAAGTTACACAAACATCCCTTCTCTCTAGCTTAGAGACAGCCCTGACACTGGCCCAGTCAAGTGTATCTTTAGTTCCCTTTTGCTGAAGCCTTTGAAGGTTTTTTTATCAGATGGACTTTGCACACCAGCATAGCAGTTGGCCAAGCACAATAACCTGCAATTAAAATTTCTGATCTCTTTGGATACATCCAGATAATAAACAAAAAGGAAAAGAGATCCCACATACAGAAGAATCACATCTTAAACCAGACTGCATAAATAAACCCACTGGTTCCACTGAACAAGCAAAATGATAGGCCAGATATATTAATTTCCCTCAGGCAAGTGTAAGTTATATCTCCTTTATGGTGTCTTTAC